TGACTGCATGGGTGCATGATCGCTTTGCCTGACTCCACAGGTGTGACTGTATCGAGTGACTGCATGGGTGCATGATCGCTTTGCCTGACTGCACAAGTGTGACTGCATCGCGTGACTACATCTCATGATCGCATAGTGTGACTGCGTTGCGTGACTATATCTCGTGATTACGCTGAGTGGCAGTATGGGTGCATGAGAGCGTAGGCTCGTATGTGCTCGTTCTGATTGAGTGGTTACCCACAATGTTGTGAGTTCGTTCGTGCCCAGAGAGAAACCGGGTGCGAGACTACAACCCTACAGAAACGTGTGTGTGTGGGCGAATGCTTGGTTGAATGCACTTGTTGGCCTGGCGATTACAGGCGGGTACTTGGTCGAATATTCTAAGCTTATTTCCGCTACTATGTCAAAAGGGACTGTGGAGGTGATTTCTATTGGCTGGTGAATCTATGCCTTGACTTTCGATTAGATGGGAAAAAGAAAGGTGGCTCTGAGAAAAATCTTTTATGTTCTTGCTAAGTTCCTACTTTATGGTGACTAAGAATCTACTTAGAAAAGTTGGGGCAAGATTTGAACCGAAGGAAAGCTGTCTGTATTCCTCGTCACTATTAACGTGACCTTGGTTATACCATGAAAATGCGTTATGTGTGCCCCCACCTGCCTTCAACTGTCTCTTGAGCAATCAACAGTAGCACGAACACAGGGAAAACCGTGCACTACATGGACGTTTTACGACCCGTTTCACCAGGAGCCGCCTACCTGACTCAGCTTGCTATTTAGACAGTTGAGTTTTTCCCTCTTGAGTTCAGTTGAAATACCCGGGGTGCCGCACGAAGCGAGTTGATGTCGGCGTGCTGGGTCTTTCATCAGAGCAACAAAATTGAGAAGGTGTTATTAGAAGAAACAGACAATCGACGTAATCTGGCGCTGGCAGAGCCGGTGTACCCACGTGAACAGTGATCTGGCACACATGGATACCAACAGGTATATTCACAGAAGGAGTTACCCCATGCACCAGGTGTCGATCAACAGTTAAGGATAAATATTCCACAACCTTCTTCAATCAGTATGATTATAATTCCACCTAGTGTTTGATTCTAACTTTTACCTCATCGTTTATGGACAATCGTACAGGACGATATTGAGAGCCCCCTTACTAAATTACCTTCTTCCCTCCCCAGTAGTCACCAAAGGGCCGTACTAACTCGGAGGGCGCTGCAGAAGATAGCCCTTACACTCGGGGGTAGGCAAGTCTTACTTCTATCTGCGAGCTGATCAGGCCATGGCTTGAGTCTCTGAGTGCAACAAAAAGGGATCATGAAGGAAGGGGAGGTTTTGATTGTAAAGTGCAGGTCAAATAGGGATAAGGGAGAAGGATGGGAAGAAGAGGCATACCGGGCTATGGAGTCTTTTAAGGAAGCTCAACGTGAACATGCAGTCCAAATGGTAAAGGGAGAAAGATACATCGAATATGTAATTTACTTCCACAGTCACGATGGTAAATTGCATAGTACTATCTCCTCGCTAGAGAGCGTGGGACAGGCATTGGTGAAACTTGCATGAACTCGACAACATCTGACTAGGACTTAATCAGTCATTATATGGCATTTGAACAGCAGCAGACATTTAATTGCAAGCAACAATCAATTTATTCGGAAACAGCAACGCGAGAACAATTCTTTTGAAACGACCTCCAGGAACAGTATCTGGAACAGTACACGAAAAGGGTTCAGAAAGTGTTCAGAACCGTACTTTGAATAGTACTCAGGCCAACATTCAGTGCCCAAAGCAGTATTCAGAGCAGTGCTCTGGACAGATATCAGAACAGTGTTCAGCTGCTATCCAACCGTTACTTGATAATTATATTAATCACTACTTGGCCATCTGTTTAATCGATGTCCAGCAACCAGCAGTAATTAGGAACAGCACTTCGGAGTGGCAGTCTCAGCAGCAGCAGTTAACTGATAACCAAACAGTGGAAAACCCAGGGGAGGAATGGGGGACTGTGATACAATTAGAGTGACTTGTTCGTTGCATCAAGTCACAGCAAGAGATTGGAGGGAGACGACAACCAATGACTATAACTACCAGACTACCATCATGATGGAGCATGCCCTGACACTCGTGAGAAACCATACGAAAATTGAATATATCTACTACTTGTATGACAAGAGCGGAAAGTTGTGTGCAATCACCTCATCCGTGGGTTCCGTTGAGGAGGCACGGAGAACCATTTGCAGGTGCAAGTAGTGCGAAATTGCGCCGGACAGAACATGAGTAGAAGAAGAGTGGATCAGGTTGGGAGCTAGTGGCTATGGGAAGTACTGTAAACCTGCAAGACACGAGAGTAAAAAGCAACCAGTTATGGCACGGTAATTACCGACGAATCAGCAATTCAGAAAATAATCAGCATTTAACTCAGTAGCCAGCAATTCCAACAGTAGCCAGTCTTGCAGCAAGCGACCAGACCAGTAATCAGGTCAGCGACCGGGTCGGTGATCAGTTTCCGGCAATCAGTTCCTAGCAGTCAGTTCCCAGCAATCAGTTTTCGGCAGTCAGTTTTCTGCAATCAGCTCGGTAATCAGTCCTCCAGGACCATCTGGTTGTTTTGTGCTGGCAAGATTACTCGTGAGCGCAGTTCAGTCTACGCCGGTCAGTGAGTCAGTGCTGACCAGCCTCAACCGGATTTCGTGCAAAGAGGCATTCCGTTATCAGTATGTTAACGCCATTGTCTTCAGACAAGGAGATCTGTCGATCTTCGTGGTCCAGACCAGCTTCGCTGATGGTACTATCCACGACTTGAGGCCATATCTGAAGAAGGGCAAGGAGACTCATGAGCTTTTCGATCCGGTCTGGATCTCAGCCACTGAATACCTTGAGCAGAGAGAGAGGGAGCTCGATGAGAGTGGCACTACGTTGATCCGCAACTTTGGGCCAATGCTTTATACTGACTATTCTAGGCCTCCAGTCCCTTCTCTTCTCACTGATGGCACGAGTTGGTTGGATGTGATCGGTTTGGCAAAGAGGTACATCTCTCCGGCGGTGATCGACATTGAGGCATTGACTGAGCCCACCGAGTATCCCTACCTCAGACGAGGGGTCTTTTCAGTGGACGGGCTGCCTACATTGTGGGAGGAATTTTGCTCTATGGTTAATTACTGTGTCATGTGCCTCGGATGGTCTTGCTCAGAGCTTGCTGGCTAAAGGTGGTTTTTTGTCACGAAGCCTCAGTCTCAGATTGTACGAGGGCGTGGGTCTCGGCACCAGAGGAGATCAGTGAAAAGAGAGATTGAGAGAGAGTGACCAGAGGGATGAGTGAGGACTCTTGAGAGGTGCTGACCATGCCCGTTTACATGTACTTTATGAGATT